TGGGTGATAGGCCGAAAAAAAGACAGTTCAATTTTTAAGGTTTCACATAGTGCCCTCCAGAATCTTGATGTGAACTGCACTCCTTGGTCTGAGACAATATTTACGGGAATTCCATGAAGTCTGACAATTTCTGTAATAAAAACCTGAGCAGTTTCAAGAGCGGAGGGTGAATTTTTTAGCGGCAAAAAAATGGGCCCTCTTTGATAGTCGGTCTACTACCTTCGAAAATGGCGGTACATCCATCTGAAGGTGGGAGCTCAACTACAAAATCCATTGATATCATCTTCCATGGTCTCTCAGGTACAGACAGAGGTCTGAGCAATCCCCAGGCTTTATTTCGGGTGCTTTTATTTCAGGTACAGATGGTGCATGCCTTTACATAGGCTTTACAGTCTTTTACCATATCTGGCCACCAGAATGTGCTTTGCGCTAACTCTACTTTTTTGGAGACCCTGAAGTGACCCGCTAAGGGGTGGTCATGGCAATACCCAAGGACAAGGGTCTGCATTTCTTTAGGTACCAAAATTTGTTGTCCTTTCCATAGAAGCCCATCCTTACTTTGTACCGCAACACCGGGTGTGCTGGATGCTCCTGCCGCTGCCTGCTGTAGTTGGGATAAAAGGCTGGTCTGTAGTAGCAGAAAGTTCCCTGCTGGCAAAATGGTGTCTGACATTGCGGTATCTTTTGGATCCTCAAAAATGCGTGATAGTGCATCGGGTTTGGTGTTCTTGGACCCAGGCCTTTAAGTAATGTGGAAAGTGAATCTCCGTTGGGAAAGAACTGCCCCAACTGCATTTTCTGATGTGTCTACTTCTAGGATATAAGGCATTGTGGAGTCTGGATGGCTCAGAGTAGGAGCAGCTGTGAACAGTTCCTTCCAGGTTTCAAAGGCGGCCTGTACTTCAGAGATCCAGTGGAAATGGACCCCTAGTTTAGAGAGCTGGGTAATGGGTGAGATGAGGGCCGAGAAGTTCTTTGTGAATTTTCGGTAAAAGTTTGGCGAAACCTACAAACCGTTGGATACCCTTTTTATCTGAGGTGACTGGCCAGTCCAGGATTCCTGAGACTTTCTGTGGATCCATTTTTATTCCAGCTGTGGAAATGATCAGTCCGAGAAATGGAATACTTTGTTGCTTGAAATTGCATTTCTCTGCCTTGGCGTATAGTCCATGCTGACGAAGTCGTTCTAAGACATTTGTAACATGTCCTCGATGGATCTACAAGGATGTGGAAAATTTTAGGATGTCATCCAGATAGACTATGACAAAGATGTCAAGGTAATCTCTGAAAATGTCATTAATGAAGTGTTGGAAGATAGAAGGTGCGTTGCATAATCCGAATGGCATGACCAAATATTCGAAGTGGCCAAATCGTATACGAAAAGCAGTCTTCCATTTGTCCCCTTTCCGGATACGGACCAAGTTATAGGCTCCTCTTAAGTCTAGTTTTGTGAAAATGACTGCAGACTTGAGTCTTTGAAAGAGCTCGGCAACCAAGGGAAGGGGGTAACTGTTTTACCGTAATTTTATTTAGTTCCCTGTAATCCACACAAGGCCGTAAGGATTGGTCTTTCTTCACAAAGAATATTCCCGCCCCTGCCGGAAATGTAGAGGGGCGAATGAATCCTTTTTGAAGGTTTTCCTCAATGTATTCCTTCAATACCCCTAATTCCCGTTCAGATAAGGGAAAAATGCGCCAAAAGGAAATTTCGAATCCCCGAAGTAGATCGATCACGCAATCATAGGGTCATTGAGGAGGAAGGGTATCTGCTCCTCATTTGTTGAAGACATCCAAGTATCCATGGTAGGCTTGTGCAACTACTTGGGCAAGTTCGGTGTCAGAGTCCATGCAAAGTAACGTGGAAGTGGGTGAAGGTAGGCAATATTTCTTGCAGCATGGGGATGAAAACTGAATTTTCTCGGTCTTCCAGTCAATCTGTGGGTTGTGAGCCTGTAGACATGGTAGGCCCAGAATGACAGGAAACAAGGAGAGGCAATTGCGTCTAGACGTAATAGTTCCTGATGGTAAGTGGGTATGGTAGTCAGAAGTGGCGGGGTCTCTTTATTTACCAGTCCAGATTTGATGCAAGACCCGTCAGCTAGAAATATGTTCCTGTTCCTTTAGCTGCAGAGGGATGTGTTGCTGGGCTGCAAAGGATAAATCAATGAAGGAGCTACAAGCCCCAGAATCAATAATTGCGTTCATTGATACGATTCTTCCGGGAAGCTGGAAGGAAATAGGAACAGCCATGTGAGTTGAGCTGGTGGGAAATGACGAATGATTAGCTGAAGAAAAGGAGATGCACTTAGCTGGGCAGGAACGCACATAATGGCCAGTTTCTCCACAGAATGATGTCTCAGGATCCGAATTTCTAGATAGAGGACCAGGCTGGACTGGAATCTTAGGTAGCACCCATGTAGGCCTAGGAACTTGGGTGGACCTCTCTAACCTGCGTTCTCATAGGTAATGATCAATTTGAATGTATAGGATGATTAAGTCCTCCAGAGAATTTGGTATGTCAACTCGGGCAAGTTCATCTATGAGGCCCTCAGCAAGACCCAAACGGAACTGGTGACGCAGGGCAGCGTCGTTCCAATTCGTGTCTGCACTCCAACATCTAAAGTCTGTGACATAGTCCTCGGCCGCTCGGCGACCCTGTTGGAGTGCATGTAATGCTGCTTCTGCTGTGGCGGTCCGCTGTGGATCATCATACAGCTGGGCTATCGAGTCAAAGAAGGTAGCCATAGTGTTCAGATGTGCTTGATGACTTTCTAGCAGACGATGGGCCCAAGCTTGTGGTTCACCTTGAAGCAGAGAGATAATGAACCCCACTTTAACAGTTTCTGTGGAGAAGGTTCTTGGCTGGAAGTTGAATTAAGTTGGCATGCATTGGGAATGCTCTAAACTTGCTTTGGTCTCCAGTGAACCGCTCAGGAGTGGGTATACGAGGTTCAGGAGGTGGCACCATGCCAACAGCATTAGCGAGAGACTCCATGGGAGCCCCGGCTGGGGCAGTGGGATTCGCAGACACGGCAACAGGTGTAGCCAGGGTCTGCATGCATTCCTCCAGGTGCACATATTTTTTCTGCGGAGTTTTGACTGCTTGGGTTAGAGCTGCCAGGTGTTTACATATCGCATCCAGAGGTAAAGGTCCTCTTGCAGGCTCAGACATGGCCGTATGGTACTGTCATGTACCTGTATAGTGAGCCTGACGTGAAAAGGCAGACCTCTTGTACAACTCCGGCTGATGATGAGACAGCGGTCGCAGGGGCACGGTGGGGTATGAGTGCCTGTGATCTGTCCAGTAGTAGCAGGTAAGCTGATGAGTTGTAGGCAGGAAGCAGGGTTCTGATGTAGCCGTACTAGATGGATACCCGAGTGCAGCGTGCTGAGGATGTAGGGTCAGACGAGCCGGGTTCGGTATTGGTCAGGCAGATCAGGCGACAATCAGAGGAATCAGGGAACACGAGCAGGGAAAAGACCATACGGCTATGGGACAACTACTGCAGCCAGTTTAAATAGCCCTTTTGGTGCCAGCATTAGTGACAGGCGCACGCCCGTGTGCGCGCCTATGTCCAAGTGCCTGCTCATCTGTTTGGCCCATAAGGACTCTGCGCATGCGCATATTTGTGTGCTGTGGAACTTCACCTGCACTATGGGCAGGCCTTTCCTGACAATGTTACACCTAGTATGGCACACAAGCAACACCCAGAGAATTCACTTTTATGTTGAAAGGGGTGTGGGATAAAGGGAACTATGGCAAACATATGCTGGGAATGTCCCAAGATACAGGAGTTTTGGCGGGAAATAGTACAACAAATACAGGAGATCTCTGGAGTTAGTATTTTAAATCCGTGGGTCTGCTTATTTGACAATACTGAGTTTACAGTTTTATATTTATAGGATGGAGGAATTATATCATATTGGAGAAGATAAAATGGGAAAATGTATAATAACATGGGAAAGATGGTGTGATTTTAAAATTTCAAAGAGATATGTAGAACTGATAGGAGTTTAAAGCATAGGGGGAGATAAATGATGAGAGGAGGGAATGATGGTTTAATAGGTAGGAAAAAGAAAGGGAGAGGGGAGAAAGAAAGAAAGTAGAGGTAGTAATAGAGGAGCAAGAACAGAAGGAAAAAGAAAAAGGGAGGTTGAGGGAGGGTGGTTAGGTGGGGAAGGGAAATATGTATTGGAAAACTGAGTTTTTTTTAATTGGTATAGTATTGGACTTTAAAATATGAAATTAATAAAAATATAATAAAAAAAAGAAATTGGCATTGGAGCCCCTGGCTGAAGCAATTCATGCCAACGTAGACATCAAGGGAATCTCAGTAGCAGGATGTCAGGAATCTAGGAATGACCAGAAAGGTGTGGACTGACACAGGGAAACGCCGGCTTCAGGTATAGTATAATAATACAGTTTATTATTAGCCACCCAGATATATATATAAACGCACAGTGAACAAACCAACCTTCCACTAATCTTAGTAGGTGCAGGAACACAGGCGTAGTCAGGGTTGGAGAGGTGGAATGGTCAGTCCGGCCGTAGGGTTGTGTAACGACTGCCTGGTGGTACCTCTAGCGGTCCTCAGGGCAGGATTCCCCAGGGCGCGGAGTCTAAGTCCCAGTCTGCTTATTCACCAGGGCCCCTGATGGTGGGGATGGACTTGGAGCAGACAGGAACCAGGTCGCGGCCCCTGACAACACCTGCTAGTGGTAGAGGTATGTGCAGGTAGAAAGCCTGATGTGAAGAGGCAGAAGGTGTGAGCAGGGACGGCTGGATCCGTGCAGGATGGATGGATGGCAGAGTAGTTAGCGTGGTCAGACAGGCCAGGTCAGCAACGTGCGGGCTGCAAGGTACCAAAGGAGCAGGCAGAGAATGGTCAGGGTCACAAGCTGGGTTCAGTAACTCACGGGCAGCGTGGTACAGGGGATCAGGCAGAAGGATGGTCAGGCAAGCCAGGGGTTCAACAGGAGACGGTCAGCAGAGGTCAGGATCAAGCAGGGTCAGCAACGAAGCAGGAACACAGGATACCAGGTACAGGGGCTCATGGGAAAACATACACCAAGGCCCTGATCACAGGCCTGGTCATGCCTTAAATACACCTTCTGCAATCAGCCCCAGGTTTGGCTGATTGCAGGAGTGAGCTTCTGGCTGCTGAGAGCACCCGCTGGTCAGCCCTGGTACTGCAGCCCACACGGCAGGTGAGTCCCACCACCAGTGCAGAGTCCATTCCTGACAGTACCCCCCCCCTCAAGGAGCGGCCTCAGGACGCTCCAAACAGTCCTTAGTGGGCCAAATGTTCCACCGCCCGGGTCAGGTAACTGGCTGAATATCCTACTGCCGGAGTAAACCGGCTGGCTGGGTTTCCTGCTGGTAGACTTCTCTTTGTGTAGGAGAACCCAGGAAGGCAGGTCACTGGACACAGGATTTCCAGGAGCAGGCTGGGAATCCGTTATTGGCCAGTTTAGCTGGACATCAGGGGCTGGCATGTCGGGCTGCACAGCAGGCAAAGGCACGTCAGCGGGCACCAAGTCATCTGGCATGACAGCGGGCACAGAGTCACCGGGCACCGAGCCATCTAGCAGAACCGCGGGCACAGAGTCACCTGGCAAGTCAGCGGGCACCGAGTCACCGGGCATGTCAGTGGGCACCGAACCATCTAGCAGAACCGCGGGTACCGGGTCACCAAGCTCAACAGCGGGCACCGAGTCAACTGGCACGACAGCGGGCACCGAGCCATCTAGCAGAACCGTGGGTACCGGGTCACCAAGCTCGACAGCGGGCACCGAGTCAACTGGCATGACAGCGGGCACCGAGTCATCAGGCATCGGGTCATGTGGCTCAACAGCGGGCATTGGGTCCTCAGGCATCAGGTCATCTTGCTCGACAGCGGGCACCGAGTCAACTGGCACGACAGCGGGCACCGAATCATCAGGCATCAAGTCATCTGGCTCGACAGCGGGCACCGAGTGAACTGGCACCGAGTCAACTGGCACGACAGCGGGCACCGAGTCACCGGGCATGTCAGCGGGCACCGAGCCATCTAGCAGAACCGTGGGTACCAGGTCTCCAAGCTCGACAGTGGGCACCGAGTCAACTGGCACGACAGCGGGCACCGAGTCATCAGGCATCGGGTCATGTGGCTCAACAGCGGGCATTGGGTCCTCAGGCATCAGGTCATCTGGCTCGACAGCGGGCACCGAGTCAACTGGCACGACAGCGGGCACCGAATCATCAGGCATCAAATCATCTGGCTCAACAGCGGGCACCGAGTCAACTGGCACGACAGTGAGCACCGAGTCAACTGGCACGACAGCGGGCACCGAGTCATCAGGCATCAAGTCAGTCATCCGGCTCAACAGCGGGCACCGAGTCAACTGGCACGACAGTGGGCACCGAGTCAACTGGCACCGAGTCAACTGGTACGACAGTGGGCACCAAGTCAACTGGCACGACAGCGGGCACCGAATCATCAGGCATCAAGTCATCTGGCTCGACAGCAGGCACCGAGTCAACTGGCACGACAGCGAGCACCGAGTCAACTGGCATCGGGTCATGTGTCTCAACAGCGGGCACTGGGTCCTTAGGCATCAGGTCATCTGGCTCGACAGCGGGCACCAAGTCAACTGGCACCGAGTCGACTGGCACGATGGTACAGCGAGTGGGAGCAGGGTACTGACATGTGGTAGATAGCAGGGTATACTGGGCTGTCACTAGGGGTGCTGTCGGGAATGCAGGAAAGGAGCTTTGAGCAGAGGAATGATGAGAAACAGGACTGGTTTGTTGCAAGCTGATTGAGGCTGGGTGTGACAAGTCTGACCATGTCTGCAGTAAGGGTTGGACAACGCTCAGCTTACACAAGGCCTGTCTGGTCAAAGATTGCACTGCGTTTATACACTTCTTTAGCACATGTGGTGAACATGCTGAATAATGCTCCAAGAAGCAATCCGGATCATCCTCCAACAACCATACCAGTGATATTATTTGACTCACCCTGAATGGAGGAAGGAATTCATCCCTGCTTTCAGGGGTACTAGATGAAGCCAACTCAACACAAGCCTGAATCAATGGTTGCACCTCAGAGAGCTCTAGGTCCTGACCTACTAGGGAATGAGCGACCCGTATGCACTCTAGCAGCTGATCCCTGGTATACTCCCGCAGAGTCTGATAGGCATATTCTCTGTCATCAAAGACTAGCATAGACAAATACACAACCTCCTCAGGATGCATCCTTCACAAGTCAAGATGGCGTGCCTGTGCAGCCACTTCTGGTCAGGAAAGGCCTTGGTGTGATGTCAGGAATCTAGGAATGACCAGAAAGGTGTGGACTGACACAGGGAAACGCCGGCTTCAGATATAGTATAATAATACAGTTTATTATTAGCCACCCAGATATATATATATAAATGCACAGTGAACAAACCAACCTTCCACTGATCTTAGTAGGTGCAGGAACACAGGCGTAGTCAGGGCTGGAGAGGTGGAATGGTCAGGCCGGCCGTAGGGTTGTGTAACGACTGCCTGGTGGTACCTCTAGCGGTCCTCAGGGCAGGATTCCCCAGGGCGCGGAGTCTAAGTCCCAGTCTGCTTATTCACCAGGGCCCCTGATGGTGGGGATGGACTTGGAGCAGACAGGAACCAGGTTGCGGCCCCTGAGTACACCTGCTAGTGGTAGAGGGATCCGCCAGAGGTATGTGCAGGTAGAAAGCCTGATGTGAAGAGGCAGAAGGTGTGAGCAGGGACGGCTGGATCCGTGCAGGATGGATGGATGGCAGAGTAGTTAGCGTGGTCAGACGGGCCAGGTCAGCAACGTGCGGGCAGCAAGGTACCAAAGGAGCAGGCAGAGAATGGTCAGGGTCACAAGCTGGGCTCAGTAACTCACGGGCAGCGCGGTACAGGGGATCAGGCAGAATGATGGTCAGGCAAGCCAGGGGTTCAACAGGAAACGGTCAGCAGAGGTCAGGATCAAGCAGGGTCAGCAACGAAGCAGGAACACCGGATACCAGGTACAGGGGCTCATGGGAAAACATACACCAAGGCCCTGATCACAGGCCTGGTCATGCCTTAAATACACCTTCTGCAATCAGCCCCAGGTTTGGCTGATTGCAGGAGTGAGCTTCTGGCTGCTGAGAGCACCTGCCCTGGTCAGCCCTGGTACTGCAGCCCACACGGCAGGAGAGTCCCACCACCAGTGCTGAGTCCATTCCTGACACAGGCAGTTCCCATAAACTGTCCTTATTTTCTGATGACATAATTTTGACCCTGACTTCACCCAGAATTACCTTGCCGAACGTATTCTCTGTCTTGGATACGTTTGCATTGCTTCCCGGTCTTTGTGTTAATCCTGCCAAAATCCAGGGCTATGTCTCTTTAATCTTTCACCTTCTGAACTGGACAACTTGAAAGGATCCTTCCCTTTTCAATGGCCTATTGCCTTACCATACTGAGGCGTTTGGCTTACCCCATTCTATGAATGACTCTACCAGGCTAAATACCTTTCTCTGTTTAAAACTCTTGACTGAGCTGTTGTCCTCTTGGTCTCCTTTTCCACTATCCTGGGTTGGTAGGATAACTGCTGTCCGCATGTCTTACTTACCAAAATCGCTATATGCTTTTTGAGTCCTACCAGTTCCAGTTCCCCCTCACATTTTACGCATTCGCCAGCGTAAATTATTAAAATTCATTTGGGGATGTTCTAGACCCAGAATCAACAAACAGGTACTGTTTGCCCGTATAATCAATTGTGGTCTCTAGGTTCCGAACATTCAGGCCTATTACCTGCTGGCCACTATTGCCCCCTGATCTCATTTACATGAGACCTATCACCTCCCATTATGGGACACTATAGATCTAGTGGACTCCTACCCCATACCTTTTTGTCCTCCTTACCCTGGCTTCCAGCGCTACACTGCCCACCATTGCTCAAGCCAGTTTTTATCACACACTCTCCAAATGTGGGACTCGATCAGATACTCAGCAGGTTTAATATCACCTTACTTACCATTACTGGAACTCCTCCGGAGCCCACTGTTCCCTCCGGGTTTTGACAATCCAAGACAATTTTCTTGGTGGACTGATCATGGAATTCATGACATACACTCTCTCCTTACCCCTACTGCAACTCTCACATTTTTTATTTTGTATGCAGACTTTGGGCCAGGGTCTGTGCATTGCTCCACACCCTGCTACACACAGATCTGAAGAGGAACCCCTATGAGACCCGTCTCTGTAAACTGATTGCAGAATTGCTTCGCCCTGAATGACAATTGGCGATGCACCTTTTCACTGCTACCAAATTGACCATATCTAAAGCCTGGATAACCCTGATCCTCAGCTTTGAAGCAGTTAAAAAACCGCATGAACTTAATTATGGTGAAGGACAAATTAACAGCCATACTATCATACACCGTGTTCCAAATTATTATGCAAATTCTATTTAAGTGTCACAAAGATTAAATATTTTGTTTTTCAGTTTAACTCATGGATGGCATTGTGTGTCAGGGCTCTTTTGATCACTGAAAACAATCTCGGACACTTGTGATAATTAGATTGGCCGGTGAGCCCAATTTAAGGAAAAACTACTAAAGGAGGGCATTCCACATTATTAAGCAGAGCACCATTTTCAAGTAATATGGGGAAGAAAAAGGATCTCTCTGCTGCTGAAAAGAGTGAAATTGTTCAATGCCTTGGACGAGGTATGAAAACATTAGATATTTCAGGAAAACTTAAGCGTGATCATCGCACTATTAAGAGATATGCGGCTGATTCAGAGCACAGACGGGTTCGTGCAGATAAAGGCACATTGAGGAAGATTTCTGCCAGATCCATGCATCGGATCAAGAAAGCAGCTGCTAAAATACCATTACATAGCAGTAAACAGATATTTGAAGCTGCTGGTGCCTCTTGGAGTCCCACGGACATCAAGGTGTAGAGTCCTCCAGAGTCTTGCAACTGTGCATAAACCTTCTATTTGGCCACCAATAACCAATGCTCACAAGCAGAAACGGCTGCATTGGGCAGAAAAATACATGAAGACTAATTTTCAAACAGTCCTGTTCACTGATGAGTGCCGTGCAACCCTGGATGGTCCAGATGGATAGAGTAGAGGATGGTTGGTGGACGGCCACCCTGTTCCAACAAGGCTGTGACGTCAGCAAGGCAGTGGTGGAGTCATGTTCTGGGCCGGATTCATGGGAACAGAGCTGGTTGGCCCCTTTAGGGTCCCTGAAGGTGTAAAGATGACCTCTGCAAAGTATGTGGAGTTTATGACTGACCACTTTCTTCCCTGGTACAGAAGGAAGAACTATGCTTTCCGTAATAAAATGATCTTCATGCATGACAATGCACCATCTCATGCTGCAAAGAGTACCTCTGCATCAATGGCTGCTATGGGGATAAAAGGAGAGAAAGTCATGGTGTGGCCTCCATCCTCCCCTGACCTCAGTCCTATTGAGAACCTTTGGAGCATCCTCGAGCAAAAGATCTATGAGGGTAAGAGGCAGTTTACATCCAAACAGCAGCTCTGGGAGGCTATTCTGACATCTTGCAAACAAATTCAAGCAGAAACTGTCCAAAAAACTCACAAGTTCAATGGATGCAAGACTTGTGAAGCTGCTATCAAATAAGGGGTCCTATGTTACAATGTAACGTGACCTGTTAAAATGTTTAAAAAGTTAAAATGTTGATAAAAGTTTGATTGAAATAGCTTTTGATTTCAGTAAATATGCTGCAAACACAACAAATGACAATTTTCAGTTCTTTACAACCTATAAAGTGTTTTAAAACTTACTGTGCATAATAATTTGGAGCAGTGCATTGTAAGTTTTTTATGTTTAACAAAAATCCTGTTATCATTAGGAAGTTTGTTCAATAAAATTTGAATTGTACTCTTAATAGTTGATAACACGAGAATTATGCGGACTGTTATTTACATCAATTATTTAGGTAAATGAGAAAAATATAATTTGCATAATAATTTGGAACACGGTGTATACTTATGAGAAATTTTTTTCAAGTCTGGCAACCATGGATTACTTATGCTCAGCCATCTCGATTTGACAGCATTCTTTTGTCGATCTAACAACCTGGCATTGCGGACCCCTGGGACTCCTCCCTCTCCATCTGCACTTTCTTTCCTCTACCTTTTTCTAGCTCTTGCTTTACTTTCTATCTCCACCTGCCTTCTTTCTTTTGTTCAGTTAATGAAACTGCCTGGTGGCTGGGCATATTCCTGGCCTTGACCGTTACAACATGTGCAACACTACATAAATGGTTTGAATTGTATCACATAATACTTGACAGTTCCCATATTGTATGGTTGAGTACACCAGTTTTTGTGATATTCACATCTGTGTCACTTTCATATTGAATGTAACTGTCATATTGTTGGCTCTGTCTGGCTGAACATCGATAATAAAAACCTTTTGTAAAGAAAATCCGCTATATATATATATATATATATATATATATATATATATATATACATTATCTCGGTGATCAACATCTGTAGCCGCCAATGGTGGCGCAGGTAGGGCCCACCTACACGGAAATTTAACACACCTGCTCCCCATTCACACCTGAGACCTTGTAACACTAAGGAGTCACATGACATTGGGGAGGGAAAAGGGCTAATTGGCCCCAATTTGGACATTTTCACTTAGGGGTGTACACACTTTTGTTGCCAGCGGTTTAGACATTAATGGCTGTGTGTTGAGTTATTTTGAGGGGACAGCAAATTTACACTGTTATACAAGCTGTACACTCACTACTTTACATTGTAGCAAAGTGTCATTTCTTCAGTGTTATCACATGGAAAGATAGAATAAAATATTTACAAAAATGTGAAGGGTGTACTCCCATCTGTGAGATACTAAAAGTAGGTAGGCAAATTAGTTATAGAGTTAATGCCACGTTAGCTGATATACACTATATAGTTACAAGTATTGGGATGCCTGTCTTTGCATGCACAAACTTTAAAGGCATCCCAGTCTTAGTCCGTAGAGTTCAGTATTGAGTTGGCTCACCCTTTGCAGCTATAATAGCTTCAACTCTTCCGGGAAAGCTGTCCACAAGGTTTAGGAGTGTGTCTATGGGAATGGTTGACCATCTTCCAGAACCGCATCTGTGAGGTCAGACATTGACATTGGACAAGAAGGCCTGGCTCGCAGTCTCTGCTGTAATTCATCCCAAAGGTGTTCTGTCGGGTTGAGGTGCAGGTCAGTCAAGTTACTCCACCCTAAACTTGCTCATCCATGTCTTTATGGACCTTGCTTTGTGCACTGGTGTGCAGTCATGTTGGAACAGGAAGGGGCCATCTCCAAACTGTTCCCACAAAGTTGGTAACATGAAATTGCCTTTAGAGTTCATGTGTGTGTAAAAGCAGGCGTCCCGATACTTTTGGCAATATATTGTGCATTTGCGCACCCTACTGTAGGAGTAATACTATTCTTAAACTCCTTAAAGCTGATAGTTGTTAATTTATTTATATACTTATTTTTTTAGTGTCCTGAAAACATGGATTTCAAAGAGGTGAAAGATCCTATGGAATACACTAATCAAGACGTAGATGTTCGATACCTTCAATGGATAAATGGCAGACTTCAACTTTGCTGGCGAAACTTGCACACTATTCACCTAGAAAAATGCAGTATGTTTGTATAAGGTGTGTGTATATATATATATATATATATATATATATGTATATATTTAATTTTATTACTAAAATGAATTTACATTCACATGCACCACTTTATGTAACTGAAATCTAGATAACCGCTAGACATACAGGTGGAAAACATAAGGAAGCTCTTCTTAAAAGAGAAGTTAGTTAAAATAGAATGTCCGAATCAGTTCACCCTCCAAGAATTGCCTGCCTCTATATTTAATTTCCAATCACCCCCTTCCTAACACTTACCTGAGTTCTGTATTGATGCAGCGTTTTGCCTGGCTGCAGGTCTTCTCTCTCCTCTCCCTGCTCTCACAGGTGTTTTTGGGAGCAGCAGGAGCCATTGGATACCACTGTCCAAAGCAGGTAAGTATAAACCCCTTTTTTTTATTAAAAAAAAAAAAAAAAAAAAAAAAAGTGTGTTCTGTTTTGGATTTTTGTCTTGTTAGAATATACAGCCTATTTTAAAGCTGTATTAAACCCAAAGCAAAAAATGTATTATATTGCTGCTTACCAACTATTATTTGTAATGGCTGTATTAATTTCTTTATTTAGGCTTTTTTCATCTTGTTTTCACCTGATGATCTGG